TCCCAGACTGAAAAAGGGTGCCCTGGCCAGTGGCTCAGTTGGTTGGAGCACCATCCCCTACACCCAAAGGTTGTCAGTTTGACCCCCCAGTCAGGGCACAAACTTGGGTTATGGGTTCGATCCCTCGTCAGAGCATGGACGGGAGGCAACCAATCGATGTTTCTCTTTCGCATCTCTTTCTCCCCCCACCGCTCTAAAATTAATAAACATATCCTCAGGTGAGGATTAAGGCGAAACTTTTTTTAAAGAGGCCTACGACTGAACACTGGTAACGAGCCGCGAGCTCGTCCTCCATCCCACACCCGCAGGGGGCCGGGTCCTGAGGAGACAGGCCCTGGGAGGGTCTCACCCAGCCCGGGAGAGCAGTGGTGCTCGAGTTGGGCAGCAACCCAGCCTCCCCCGCTGGGTGCCTGCTTGGCTCGAATCCACTCCAGTTCCTGCGAGCCTTGTGCGCGACTGTCACCGTCTCCCTATGGGGCAAGAAGCTGAGGGCCCGAAGGGACTGCCTCTAGCCAGGGTGAAGCACTGGGCTCAGCGGCAAAACTCACCTCTGTGCCTTGATGCAAAAGTAAACAATTTTTAAACCGAGGAATGACTTACATAAGTGATTCCTATATGAAAGTATGTACTCCAAAGGCCCTGCTCTTACTGCCACTGCATCGGGGAAAGTTTTCTGAGGGAGGGGACTTTGGGAGGGAAAGGACAGGGTGGAAAGGGAGCAGGAAGGAGCTGCCGGGCTAGGGAACTGTGTGCTGTGCAAAGGCCCAGGGGCAGGGGTGTCTAGGGAGGATAATGGGGAGCCCAATTTAACAGGTGACATCAACTCTAAATGAGGCCTTTGAGTGGCAGGACAGAGATGCAGGGAATCTATCTGGGTTCCCAAGAGGGAGCCAGCAACAGTATCGGTGTCACAGTGGCCTAGTGGTCTGGGAGCACCCTAGGGCAGAACTAGAATGCTAGGCAGAGGGACCCGACAGAGCAAAGGCCAGAAAGTGTGAACGTGTATGGCCTTCAAAATGGGCCGTTGTGGCTGGAGGGGCTAGAATGGCAGGGTCCAAGGCTGGAGGAAGGAGAAACTGACCCACCTTTGGTGCCAGGCTAAGGAGTTTGGTGTCCACTCCACAATGAGCGGGGGTTGAGTCTTGTAGGTAGAAGGGCCATGCCAGCAGCCAGTCATAAAAGGATTGGGAGGGCAGGGACAGGAGTTCAGGTGCTGGGCCAGCTGTGGTGGGGGATGTGAGGGCTGTGGGTCATTTCAGAGAAGGTGTCAAGGGGATTCAGTGACCAGATGGATGCGTGGAGGCTGCAAGAGGTGGCGCCACAGGGCCTGCAGGGTTTCCGGCCTGGGCGAATGCGCGTACTCTGGGGACAGAAGGCAGAGATGTTATCCCTGGGGAGCCTGGGGTCTGGGGGCCTCCGGCGGGTCCTGAGAGTGTCACCTAGATTCCAAACTCTCCCCAAGGTTCCCAGGAACATGAAAAGTGTGGTTCAGGATGAAGTTGGGTCTGGTTTGGTGGGCTCTCAAGAGGGACCTGAAGGGGTAGTTTCCAAAAGGCAGGAATGGTGGCGGGGGGTGGGGTGGGGGTGGGGGGGATGTCACAGTCCTTGGGGCTCCTCCCTCTGTTGGCAGAGGAGGAGCTGGTGAGAGATGCCTCAGGGCGCTGGTCAGAGGGGTCAGGTGTCAGGCTCAGGCGTCCTGGGAAGCTCTGGCTTGGGACTTGGGCTACATTTTCAGTGACAGTGAGCTCAGTTCCCCCCATGGCTCTGCAGACCCACCTGACAGTCACAGTCAGTCAGAGGTGTGATAGGGACCTGCTCCTGAAGGGCAGGACTCTACACTCTGGGGCCCTGCAGGCAGCTGAGAAGTTGCACTTCTCTCCTTGAGTCCCTCAAGCCCATTGGATCTTTCCGGTATCTGAAAGCGTCCTCCCCTCCCTCCCTCCCCCCCTCCCCCAGCACACACAATTCCTCAGGCTGAAGCTCCTAGGGCCTGGCCCCAGTCCCAGGCCCCACTCCAGCCAGTCTGGACTGTGCCGCCCTTTCTTTGGTGCCCTACGCCAGCCCGTGAGGGAGTTGCCACATTCTCCTGCTTCTCACCTGAGGAAACAGAGACTGAGACCCTCATCCCACATTTCAAAGGCTGACCTACTCCCTGCCCCACCCGAGGCACAGGAGACAGGTGGGGCTGTGAGCTCCACATGGATGCCCTGGGCTTCCTAGGGTGGGCTCAGAAGCCCTTAGACCCGGGTAAGTCTTTCAGGCCATCAGACACCTGCTAACTCAAGTCACTAATGTGTCCAGCCTGTTTGTGGGCCCCTGCGAGCAGCCGGTGAAAGTGAGGAAAAGGGAGAAGAAGGGAAGGAGTGTGTCCTGCTGTACAGTGGGCTTGCACCATAATCCTTGCCTAGCAGCCTGTTTTGGGGACGGAGTGACAGGGAGAGCAAGCCCCAGCCAGCATACAGTGGCCTCTGGGAGACAAGAGCCGAGCTTCCAAGCCCCCTGGAATGCACAGACACAGGATGCCCCCCACTTCTACCCCCGCCTAGGACCCAGGAGCTGAAGCCTATCCCTAACCTGCTCCACTGAAGCCCAAGTAGTGAGAGGAAGGTGTGGCTGGGTGGGCAAGTCCCAGCCTCAAAGGCTTACTTAACTCGGCTTCAGTGAAAACTTGTGTTTGCTCAGGGCAGCTCGTCTCAGGCAGGCTTCAGGGAGAAGCAGATCAGCCTTACCGACCCTTCGCGGAGGGGTGAGTGGCTGAGAACCTGGGACCTCCCAGAGGCACAGTTGGTTTAAAAGAGGATGCTTATTAACCAGAATGATTTTTTTTGTTGCTGGAATTCCCTGCAGCTTAACTAAGTGCACAAAATTTAGGCAGGTGAAGACAAATTGTTTTCTTTTGGGGAAGGGGCAGGGGTAATAACTAGGCTAGTTCTCCCTTCCTGGTGTGTCTAGGGAGAAGGGTTGGGGACTGGTGTCCCTCCACCCCAAACCCCTGCTCCTGGATGAGATGAGGCGGTGCGAAAAAGGGCTCCAAGAGCCCCCAGCAGTGCAGCACCAGGAGGGTCAAAAGAAAACCCCGCGAAGCAGTTGGAAAGAAGTGGGTGGGTGGGGGGAGTGCAGGGCTTCGGGGATGGAAAAGTGATTAGCTGTGCTGATGAGGCTAAAGTCAGCCCTGGCAGCCCCCAGGGCAGCACCAGAGAGAAAGAGATCTGTTGTCCACAGAAGGCAGACAAAGATGGCTGCCGGGTGGGCTACCCCCCACCTGCCCTCCCCCTCCCTGCCCAAGGCAGCCAGATCACAGGGGGTACAGGCAAGTCCCTAAGCCTGGGGATGGGTGCCCCTCATGGGAATTGGGGGATAGGACTGTCTGTAGGTAAAATGTTGGGAGCCTATGTCCTGGGTCCAGCTCTTGACTCCCCAGTACCTTCTAAAAAGTAGGGGAAGTCTAGGAACAACCCCCAACCTCCTGGGGTGGTAGATGGGCCGTTTGATCAGTGAGTGTGTAAATTGGGATTTTATGGATCGCTTATTCACTGCTGGAGCTGAGGCCCCCAAATTCCTCTGTGCCCCAGAATGCTTAACCTAGTCCTGAGCTTTTCCCTGGGAGGGGAGGGAGGACAGATCCCCACAGTCCCCCACGCCTCCTGCTGTGTCTCCTCCCAAAGCCCCAGGCTTTGTCATTGCAGGTTGAGCGGTTCAAATGTGCTAATACACTCCCTGGGGGCCACCAGGCAGTGGGACTTACCCTTCAGTGCTGTGATTGGCCCGAGACCATGGGGGGAAGGTTCATGGCAGCTGCAGCAGCTGTGTGTGTGTGTGTGTGTGTGTGTGTGTGTGTGTGTGTACGCGCGCACGCGAGGGAGGGGTCCGTAAGGTGTCCAGCCTGCTCAGACCACTGGGCAGAGACAAAGGATCTTCATCCAGCCTGGAACAAGGATTAAGACCAGAACAAACCTTGTCTCTACCTGGTCAGGCTGGTTAGGGAGCCTACCTGTCCATCTTTATATCCTCTTACTGTATCTTGACCTGGTAGGGACTTATTCCGTGTGTGTTGGATGGATGGATGATGAGTGGCCACAGGAGTGACTGCATTTTTAACTGCGGCTCTGTCTGCTGGAATAGTCCAGCACCTACAAATTCCTAGGTCTCCCACTAAGATTCCTGAGTGGCCCCTCTTCCCCTCGCTGAGATTTGCTTTAGCCCCGGCCTGGCTGGCACAAGGCTGGACACGAGGGACTGGCCAGGCCTCGGGGGACACAGCTATGACCCCTGGACTCTGTTGTCATTTGAGAGTGCTTTCACTGTGGTCACGTTTCTCCCTGCCGGCCCCCATCTGTCCTTGGGATTTGATGAGGATGAGGATGGTTAACCAGGGGGGATGGGGATGGGGGAGGGAAGGAAGCACAGCCCAAAGGGCCAGATGACAAACTGCCCTGTCCTACGTCCTCTGCTTCTCTTCAGCCTGCCCCTCCTTTCCTAGCAGCAGGCAGGACAGGCTGGGCTAGTGGGGAGTGGTTGGTGCAGCTAGCCCACCCTCCCTCCTTCCTGGGAAAGCTGGAGCCCAGCCTTGCCATTAAACTGCCTAGGAATCCTAAGGAAAGGAGTCAGAGTCCTAAGGAAGACTACCTGGAGATCCTAAGAAGTGAGACTCCATGTTCAAGAGAAAGCTGCAGAGGTTCCAGCTCTAGTGGGAAGCACCCTGTCTGCAGAACCGAGTGCTGGCTGGGATTAGAGCAGTACTGTCCGGTGCGACGACGGGGATGTTGTGTGCCCGCGTGGGCTCCTATAGGAGCCACCACCCCACAGGACTACCGAGGGCTCAGACCGTGGCTAGTGCTGTTGAACTGAGTCTTTTTTTGAAAATTTTATTTATTGATTTTAGAGTGAGAAGAAAGGGGGGAAGAGAGAAAGAAAAAGAGAGAGAGAGAAAAAAAGATTGATTTTGTTGTTCCACATATTCATGCAGTCATTGTTGCTTCTTCTATGTGCCCTGACTGGAGATTGACCTACAACCTCGGTGTATCAGGATGATGCTCTAACCAACTGAGCTATCTGGCCAGGGTGAGGAACTGAAATTTTAATGTAATTTAATTTTAATACTAAATTTTTATTTTTAATAATTTTCAGTTGTAAAATACTTAATAGATTTTAGTGAACTTAAATTTAAATAGCCATTGTGGCCAATGGTTAAGATTTGAAAAGCACAGGATTAGAGTCTGTGTTGAGGGATAGAAACCAAACCCTCAACTGGGGTGCAAACCCCTTTCTGACTGTGTGACCTTGGGCAGGGCTCTTCCCAGAACGGGTGCTCTCTCCCCAGTCCATCAGACTACCCAGCCCCAGTGTGGGTCATATGCAGTTAGGGGCCCATCTACTCCTGTGGCTGGCTGAGCTACTCTTACGAGGTCCTGTGCCATGAGGAGGCCAAACATCCAGGGAGAGACCAACAGCCCAGGGTAGGAAAAGAGTGGCCGTACAGACAGAGCCCTAGACTTCTCAGCATTTTAGGGACTTCCCTGGGGTTGTCAGTCCTAGAAGCCTTCCTGGAAGAGGGGAGCTGAAGGCAGGCCTCGACTGGAGCTGTGCTTAATAGGTGAGCTCTGAGAGGGCCATGTGTTTGGTGCCTAGATACGTTGGCACCAAAGGTATCTGAGCCCCAGCTTCCCCTCTTACTAGGTATTAAAACCTTAGGGAGAGTCACCAGCCCCTCTGAGCCTCCATTTCCTCTTCTGTCAAATGGGGAGAGCATGGTTATCTGGCAGGGAAGCTGTGAGAGTGAAACGGAAGGGAAACCATGGAAGTTCTTTGCGAACACCAGTAGGCTGGGGGAAAGGGAAGGTTCACCCTCAAGGGTGCCGGGCCCCTGGCCTGGCCTCTCAAGACGACAGCAGATGGTCACAGCCTGTCTGTGGCCCTGACCGAGGAGGACACAGGCAGGGATTTCTGCACACTCCCCTCCCCCCAGCGCATGCACACAGCCCAGATGGGGGCCGCTTGGCCAGCCTCACTCAGGCTGACCTCCTGCTGTTTGGCATTTGACATATGAGGAGTCTAGGGCCAGAGCACAGCACCACCCACCCCCACCCCAGAGAGGAGCCGGACTGGCAGGGAGGCCTCGCTACCTTGAGGAAGCAGGACCCCAAGGGCCCTGATCTCTTTACCATGTGTCCGGTGGCCTTTGATGGGAATTCCATCGCCCCTTTTGCCCTCTCCCAGAGGCCTGGCTGGGGGAAGAGAGGAGGAGGAGAATTAAAAAAAGAAAAAAAAGAAAAAAAAAAGGAGGCCAGGTGGGGTGCCTGGCAGCCCGGCTGGGTGCCGGTTAGCAGCAGGCACCCTTTCCCTATCCACCCCTGAGGCGGTTCCCTGGCTTGGCCTCTTGCCATCCTCACCGTCTCACTGGGCTCAAATTTAGTCACCCTAACTTCTTTCTTTCTTTGGACATAGAGGCAATTTCAAGCCTCTTTGCTCATTAGCCATCCAACCATCCTTCTATTAGAGTCTATTAAGGACTTACTGTGTGCCAGGCATTGTCCTAGGTGCCTGGAATACGACAGTGAACAAAACCTTCTAGTAGGTACGAGAAAATAAAGCAACAAGTAGCTCAGTTTGTGATGGGTGCTACAGAGACCATCAGGTTGAGAGAGACAGTGAGGTGGCAGTTGAGCAGAGAGCTGAAATGAGGTGTGAGCCGTGTGGAGACCTGGGGAAAGAGTGTTTCAGGCACAGAGCACAGCAAGGTCAAGGGCGGGAGAAAGCTGGGTGTGGGGGATCAGCGAGGCGGCCGCGGTGGCTGGAGGGAGGCCCAGAGTAAGGGGAAGTGGCTCACTAGGACCTGGTAGGCCAGTGAGAACTTTGGCCTTTCTTCCAAATGAGACAGGAGCCATTAGAAATTTCTGGGTAGAAGAACGACATGATCGAACATGTTTCCAAGGGTCATGGTGGCTGCTGTGTTGAGAATACAGAGTGGGGGACAAGGGAAGAAATGGGGAGGTGAGGTAGGAGACTACTGCAGTCATCCAGGTGAGACACGCAGCTGGAGGAGGTGAAAAGTGGTTGCAGTTTGGACAGATTTTGAAGCCAGCGCCAGTCTGACTTGCAGGTCTGTGGTGTGAGAGTTGGCTAGGATCCCAAGGTTTCTGGCCTGAGCAGCTAGAAAGAATGGAGCTGCCATTTTCTGAGATGAGAAGACAGGGAGGGGGAGATAGGGAGGGGGATGAGGAAGTCAGAAATTTGATTTTTGGACATGTCAATTATGTCAATTAAATATTGGAGTGGAGGTGTCAGTGAGAAGGTTGAATACGCCAGCGGTAAGTGCATAGGGGAAAACTAGGCTGGAGAACCACATATAGGAATCCCCAATGTACAGAGGATGGTCAAGGGAACAAGACCGGATGGGGTCTCCGAGGAAGTGATGCGGAGAGCAGGCTCCAAGGACAGCCCTGGGCTCTGCAAGGCTCAGGGTGCAGGAGTGAAAGGAGGGCATGACAAAGGCTGAGGAGGAGAGGGGAGAGGGGGGCAGGGAGCCCAGCGAGGAAGTTTCAGGAAGGAGGGCTTGTCAGCTGAGTCCAAAGCTGCTGAGCAGAGCCCCACTGAAGACGGACCATCAGATTTAACAATGTGGTCATGTGCCACAGGCACACAGGTGCTGGAGTGCCAAGCGTGAAAGCCTGGTTGGGAGGGGCTCAAAAGAGAACGGGAGGGGAGGAATCAGGAATATAGCATAGGAGTCTTTGAAACCTTTTTTGGTTTTGTTAAAAAGCAAGCAAAGTGCAATAGGATGTATAGTTGGAGGGGGATCATGAGATTGTTTTGAATATTTTCCCCCCTAAGATGGGAGAATAACAGCACGTTTGTGGGCTGATAGGAATGACAGAATAGGGGAAATTAATCATACAGGAGAGAGGAGAATTATGGGAACCACATCCCTGAGTGTTGAAAGGGGGTGGAATTAGTGCAAAGGGGAAGAACATCCCCTGCTCTTGAAGGACAGGTGGCTGGGAGGGGGAGGGCACCTCCACGGGGTGGGACTGTGTGAACACAGGCATGTAGGCCTGAATGAGCAGGGCTGATTTTTCTCTAGATTTCTTTAGGCCCTGGGCATGGGGAAGAAAGCTAGCTTGCATTTCATTGTTGGAAGAATCAAAGAAGCCTGGGATGTTCACAGACCATAAACAGGACAAGCAATTTGCCCCAAGACACAGAGTCAGCTCAACCCTGACACACCTGTCCTGACCACGCTCACTCCTTGGGGAGCATAGCATGCAGCCCCCTTGCTCCTCTCCCTTTGTCCCTCCTGTCCCCTTCCCCCAGCTCCAGGTTCACCATTTCGCCATCCAAGGAGTAGGGGAACAAGGAGGAACAGTGTTCAGATCTTGTGCATGGACCTCTGCTCCCCTCAGGGGTCTGCTCCTCAACCTGTGTCCCTGCCTTTCCACCACCTTACAGAGGTGGGAAAAACACTGGCCAGAGGGAAGAGGCCCCCATGCCCACCCTGGGCAAGCCACACCTTTTCCCTGGGACTCAGTTTTATCATCTGTGAACGGCATCCCCTTAGGTGGGGCACTATGGGCAGTCAGCGAGCGATGGCATGGGTGTGCCGGCACTCCCTGCTCGGCTCTGGTCCTTCCTCCTTCAGCAACCTCAAGTCCAGGAACACACGCCAATGCTCCCCACCCTCAGACACCCATTTGAGATGCTGCCCTGACGTCCCCTCCAAAAACAGCCTCGACTGCCTCTGAACTTCCGGAATTCATGCTTTTCTTTCTCTTCTTTTCTTTCCCTCCCTCCCGCCTTCCCTCCCTCCATGACCACTTTCACTGTATCTTCTGTCACCTGAAAGAGCCTGTGAGGCTGAGTCACAGTTTGATCCAGTTTTGCACCTCTGACAGCTAACACTCAGTGTCGCACACGGAAGGTATTGTGAAAGTGTGTGCTGGCTGGCTGGGAACAGGACAGTCTACCTGCGGAAAAGGGACTGCAGCCCTTGCAACAAAGAATTTGCAGCTGCCTCTCTGGCCCCCTTGGGTTCACCCCTAGATGTTTATTACCAGGCCCTGCCCTAGAGGGTCCCCCAGGCAGTGCTGTGGGGGTCCAGCTGTGCTGGAAGCTGCCGTCTGGCCCCGAACTTGGGGAATAGCTTTCCTGTGGTGGCGCTAGGGCTGTGTCAGGTCCCTAGGAGTCCTTTCGTCACCCCTCCCTCTCCTCTTGCAGTAAACAGGGGTTGGCACGAGGGGGCAGGGCCCAGCGGATGGGGAACCAGTCCTGTTCAAGCTCTGCCAGGCCGCCAGAGACCCCCCTGGGGTAGCAGTTGTGAGCAGTAGACAAAAAGCCTGGGACAAAAGGCCTGTGGGAGCCTTGGTGAATAGATTAATGAGATTTCCATATGAGGGCCAACAATGGGATTCTCCACTCCAGCCCCTTTGTCCCAGGCTGAGATAATGGAGCCCTGGGGAGGTTGCCCAAGAGGGGGCTGCATCAGCCCCTTTCCACACAGGACTGGAGCTGCCGCTGCACAGCTGCCCCTCCTACCCTGCCCCGCCCCCCAGCCCTGTTGGGTCCAATACCCTCCCTCCCTGTGGGTAATGGAATTCTGAATCACAGAGTTTCTGTGAGATGGGGAAGGGGTGTTAGCAGCCTCCTTATGGAGTCTGAGGGGGGCATCGACACTGCATGGTTGGGGTCCCTTACCACTGCATCACGTATAAAATTTACTTTTAAGGGTTCCTAGTGAGAGAGAAGTTTGTGGTCTATCATCTATTACCAGCTGTTTCATTTGACAACTGAAGAAAGTGAAGCTTGAGAGATTAGGTGTCTTGCCCATGGTCACACAATGACAGCTCAGGGTGCCCCAGGATGCCAAGAGTGGGGGGTGGAGGAGTGTGAGGGGAAAACACGTCCCTTTACTCTCACGCTACACTGCCTCACTTCTGACACCAGATGGGTGGGTTTTCCACACCAGCCAATTCTGCAACATCAGTGGGTGTCCTACAATTTAGCTAAATCCTGACACTATTTACCTGGAGACAGCATCAGATCCCTTTGGTTAAGGGCTCAGCCCCACAAAGATTGCCCCAATTCCAGTTCAGATGCTCATCATAAGTTGGGTTACCTGTGTTTTGACAAGCTATAAATTGGAGGTCCCCACACCTTGCTCCTTGGGTTCAATTAATTTGCTATAATGGCTCACTGAACTCAAGAAACTAGTTTACTAGATTACCAGTTTATTATGAAAGAACATAACTCAGGAACAGTCACATGCAAGAGATGTACAGGGCAGGGTACATGGGAAGGCGTGCAGAGCTTCCGTGCCCTCTCCCAGGGCACCACCCTCCACGCACTTCCCGTTTCACCAGCTCAATCCAGAACCTCTCGGAATCCCCATCCTTTTCGGTTTTTTGTAGGGGCTTCATTACATAAGCATGACTGATTAAATCACTGGCCACTGGCGATTGAGCTGGGTCTCAGGCGCCTCTCCTTTCCCAGGAGGTGGGGGTGGGGTGGGGCTGAAAGTTCCAACCATCTAATTGGCTGGTTCCCCTGGCAACCAGACTCCATCCTTAGGTTAACTAAGGGCTTTCTAAAAATCACTTTATTAATATAAACTCAGGTGTGGTTGAAAAGGGCTTGCTATGAATAACTAAGACATCCGCTTTAACCATGACTTGGAAGTTACTTCAGGAACTGAGGACAGGAGACCAAACAACGAAATATGCTCCCAATGCTCTTATGCTTAGGTAATTCCAAGGGTTTGGGAGCTGTGAGCCAGGAACAGTGAACAAAGACTAAATACATGTTTCTTTTTTAAAGATTTTATTTATTTATTTTTAGAGAGGGGAAGGGAGAGAGAAGAAAACATCAATGTACGGTTGCCTCTCCTGCGCCCCCTACTGGGGACCTGGCCTGCAACCCAGGCATGTTCCCTAGTCTGGGAATAGAACCCATGACCCTTTGGTTTGCAGGCTGGCGCTCAATCCACAGAGCTACACCAGTCAGGGCTAAATACATATTTCTTAATCACCCAACCACAGCTAAATATGTATTTCTTAATCACATCCTGTGTCAGGCCCGGTGCACGGAGTGCCCTTCCTGTGTCCACAGGGACTGAAGTCGGTGCACTAAGTGTTTCTGCCATTTGTGAAGGCTGAATCACTTTTCTCATTGACCCTAGAAGACTTCCTAAAAATGAGGGGTGGGTGTTTAAGAAATTTTTTACTTACCCTCCCACCTAGTGATTCCTTCTCTTACTATTTACTGATGGCCTAAGTTTTGAAGTCAAGTGGATCCAGCTTCTTATGTGTAGGAGGGCACTTGGCCCTCAAGGATCTGCAGAGAAAGAGCTGATTCGGGAGCCTGAGCCTGCTCCCCCAAGGGTGCAGTTTCTGAAAGTTACCTTTAGTCCACAGAGTCCCAGCCTCCCGCTGGGAAGTCCACAGACCCAGATAAGGAATAGCCTAGCCAGCTTAGGGGTGTGAATGCTTATCAGATGGCAAGTTTACAGGAAAAGGGACAGCTCTACTTGGGCTGTTTTGCTGTGAGGGAACACAAACTCTTCTGCTTGGGGGGCACAGGCAACTGGGGATCACAGCCTCCTACCCTCAACTGGTGCTTCCAACTGCAGGTCTGAAGGGTAAATATACTGGGTCTGGCAGAAGCAACACCTACCTGAGTGTGGTTGGTAGGATAATAATAATACGGGTGTAATAATTTATAGTTTTAATTTGAACATTTCACCTAAAATGTCACATGGTATGCTTGAGTGTGATATTATACTCAATGTTACAGAATGGTGTGCTTATGATTTTGTAATAAAAAAGGGGCACTATTTGTGGCGGACCCTGTATAAAGCATTCAAGGCACAGCCACACTCCCAGGCAAATACAGATCCATGTTTCCACAGGACCAAGGAAAAGACATAGACTAGGTCATGGCCTCAGGCTTTCCTAGCTGTGAGTACCCAGAGGGGTGGACCAGGGAGGAAGCGCAGCCTAGAGACAGGGCCTGGGCTCCTTAGACTGCTGCAGTCAGGATCCTGCTCCACATGTAACAGCTGTGTGACCCTGGGCTGTATTAATCTGTCTCCTCGTCTGTAAAATGGGAATGGTGACAATAGCATTGATCTCATGGGGCTGTTGTGAGGGCTACGCCAGATAGAGCGTAGAACAGGGGCTGGCTCTGCCCCCAGTGCTGGGGCGCCGGGAAAAGGCACGAGGACCATTCCGTCCTATCAGCTGGAATGAACCTCCCTCAGAGCATACTCTCCAAAGCAGCGTTAAGAACCAGCCACTGCTCCAGTTCTTACTTGTACCATTTATCACACTGCTTTGTACTCCACACTGAACTGCATGCTTTACATACATTGTCTTTTTAAATCCTCGAGACCACTCTGCAGGGCATATGTTATGCTCTTTAACAGGTGGAGAAACTGAGCTTCACTGAGATCAGGCAGCCTGACCAGGGCCATACAGTAACTGAGTCTGAATTCAAACCCAGGTCTCCCTGATTCAAAGCTCACACATTTTCTCAGGTCCCAGGGACTTTCCTCACTTCCAGCTCAGGTGATGCAGGGCACTGGAACTTGGGAGGAAGGCAGGATGTCCTGGGGAGATCCCTCAGGCCAGAGGCTGAATGGCAGGGCTTGTGAGCTAGGCCACAGGAAGGCCCAGAGTCCCTGTGTGAGAGCAAGAGGACTGGAACTGGCCTGGGGGTGGGGGCAGGGAGACAGCTCTACTCCAATTTCTCTGAGTGGGGAGGTGAGGAAGGAAAGCCTTGGGGAGACTAATTGTGTCAGAAAGCACCCACCTGAGACTGCATTTAAAGTGCCAGAGAGATCAAGACAGAGCATGTATGTATGTGCACATGGTGCCTGACTCTTCACTACATTAGGTTTGAAGGTCAGGACAATGCATCCTAGATGGCAGGGCCGGTGCAGCCAGGACAAAACAATCATCACTGCCTATAAGGTGAAGTTGGGACCAAACATGTCCTTTCCAGATCCCTTTTGTTGTGAGGGAAGTATTTTCAGGTAACTTTAATCTTGAGACAAGAGGGGCAAATCCAGCATTGTGTACTTGGTGCTGGAGAAGGTGCCCCAGGAGAGTGGTGGATGCCGGAGAATCAGCCTGTCCCAAGTTGCTGTCTCAGTGCGTAGGCTAGCGGTCGGTGGGCTCCGAAGGACCTCACTACCCACTTCTCTCTTGCAGCTCTGTCGAAGATGCACTGGACACCGGAACACGCCCAGCCCCTCAACCAGTGGCCAGAGCAGCACCTGGACGTCTCCTCAACCACACCGTCGCCAGCCCACAAGTTGGAGCTGCCTCCTGGGGGTCGCCAGCGCTGCCACTATGCTTGGGCACACGACGACATATCTGCCCTTACTGCCTCCAACCTCCTCAAGCGCTACGCAGAGAAATACTCAGGGGTCCTGGACTCGCCCTACGAGCGCCCCACCCTGGGCGGCTACGGCGATGCCGCCTTCCTCAATGGCTCCAAGGGGGAGCCCGAGCCTTGGCCAGGGCCAGAGCCACACTACCCCTTGGCGTCACTCCACGAAGGCCTCTCAGGAACCAAGTCAGGCAGTGGGGGCGGCTCCGGGGGCCTCGGGAGCTCCCCGGTTTTAGCCGGGAACCTTCCCGAACCCCTTTACGCCGGCAATGCGTGCGGGGCCCCGTCCGCAGCGCCTGAGTACGCGGCAGGCTACGGCGGGGGGTATCTGGCCCCCGGTTACTGCCCGCAGACCGGAACCGCGTTGCCCCCGCCGCCCCCAGCCGCGCTGCTGCAGCCCCCGCCTCCGCCGGGCTACGGCCCCTCCGGCGCTCTGTACAACTACCCCGCGGGGGGCTACGCCGCTCAGCCCGGCTACGGAACTCTACCGCCACCCCCGGCCCCGCCGCCGACCCCCTACCTGCCCTCGGGCCTGGCGGCGCCCACGCCCCTGCCGGCGCCCGCCCCGTCCCGGCCTGCGCCCACTTCCTACAGCTTCCAGGCGGCCGCTCCGGGTGCGGAGGCCGGCGTATCGCTTAAGCGCAAGGCTGCCGACGAGGGCGCAGAGGGCCGCTACCGCAAGTACGTCTACGAGCCAACCAAGGCCCCGGCAGCCGACGGCGCCTCCTACCCCGCGGCGGACAACGGTGAGTGTCGAGGCAACGGGTTCCGGGCGAAGCCGCGCGGAGCGCTGGAGGAGGCATCGGGCAAGTACGCTGACGGCGTTTCTCTCAAGGTCCTGGGCTTCCCAGTCTACGGCCCGCAACTCGAGCCCTTTGAAAAGTTCGCAGAGCGCGCCCCGGCGCCGGCTCCCCGCGGGGGCTTTGCCTTGCCGTCGGAGGAGCCTCCCAAAGGCGTGGACCCGGGCGCCCTGGAGCTGCTGACGAGCAAGATGCTGGACTGCGGGCCCCCGGTTCAGTGGGCAGACGTGGCGGGCCAGGACCCGCTCAAGGCAGCGCTGGAGGAGGAGCTGGTGTGGCCCCTGCTGAGGCCGCCTGCTTACCCCGGCAGCCCGCGCCCGCCGCGGACAGTGCTACTCTTCGGGCCGCGGGGCGCGGGTAAAGCGCTGCTGGGACGCTGCCTGGCCACGCAGTTGGGCGCAACTCTGCTGCGCCTGCGCGGAGCCTCGCTGGCCGCGCCGGGCGCCGCGGAGGGCGCGCGCCTTCTTCAGGCCGCTTTCGCGGCAGCGCGCTGCCGCCCACCCGCCGTGCTCCTCATCAGTGAGCTGGACGCGCTGCTCCCCGCCCGGGAAGACGGCGCTGCCGCCTCGGGCGCGCTGCAGGCGCCGCTCCTGGCTTGCCTGGACGGCGGCTGCGGCGCGGGGTCCGACGGCGTGCTGGTCGTGGGCACCACCTCGCGGCCCGCGGCTCTGGACGAGGCCACCCGGCGGCGTTTTGCTCTCCGCTTTTACGTGGCGCTGCCGGACAGCACGGCCCGCGGACAGATCCTGCAGCGGGCGCTGGCCCAGCAGGGCTGCGTGCTGAGCGAGCAGGAGCTGGCGGCCCTGGTGCAGGGCACGCAGGGCTTCTCCGGGGGCGAGCTGGGGCAGCTGTGCCAACAGGCAGCGGCCGGGGCGGGCCTCCCGGGGCTGCAGCGCCCCCTCTCCTACAAGGACTTGGAGGCGGCCCTGGCCAAGGTGGGCCCCCGGGTCTCTGCCAAGGATCTGGACTCGTACGTGGAGTGGGACAAAATGTACGGCTTCGGACACTGACGGCGCGCTGGGGAGGCCGCGGGAGCTGCCGCCCTCCCTCCCCGACTCGGGGAGGGACGACTTTACCCCACCGGGCTGGGGAGGGTGTCGAGTGATGAATGTGGGAGGGAGAAGGGAGGGTGCTGTTGGTGGATTTTTTTTTTCTTGGTAAGGAAAATGCCTCTGCTAGGCAGATAGATGCCATATGCGCTGTGTACTCAGGTTTTTTTTCTATTTATTGTGGACGGGAAGCTGCCATCTCCGCTCCTCGGACGGGCAGACCAAGGAACTCCTGCTCTCTCGCCACAATCCTTTTGTCTCCTCGCTATCTCAATCGCTCCTTCCTCCTCCCCAGACTCTCCCCTCTTTCTTTGCATTCGCCTTGTTTTTTCTCCCGGTCGCTTTGTCATTGCACCTCCCCCCTTCCCCCATTCCTGGCCCTGTTTCTCCTTTGCTTATCCCTCCCCTATTTCCATCTTTCATTCTCTACTTCTGTCTCCATCCCTCGCTCTCTAGCCCCTGTGTCTCTTGGTCTGTCTCCTTGCCTTCTGTCCCTCATTCAAAGAGTACAGTGTCCCTTTGCAGGAGATCTGGAGGTCTGGAGGATGAGGAGGAGAGGTACGGAGTTCCCTCCCACCCCGTACCTCTCCCCCAGCTGAAACCTTGGGGAGGGGGGTGGAAATCAAGCAAAAAACACCCAAAGAAGGGTTTTTGTTGTTTGCTTTTGAGGGCGGAAATCCCAGAAATGTAGCTTGTTTAATATTTAGGCTTCTTATTTTTGTAAGATATGTAGAACTTGCTGTTTTTCTTTTAATTTTGACAACTCAGGAAGAAATTGACCTCAGAAAGAATGTTAGACTTTGGCTACTCTCCTGTGTGTTCCCCACCAAACACCATTACCCCTCAGGGGAGCAAATTCTCCCAGAAAACTCAGAAAGTGAGACTTGTTGAGAAGGGGAGAGGAGGGCCCAGAGCCACACTTAGACCCCTGCTTTTCCTGGGACAGAAGCAGAATGTATTTGTAGGGCTTCCTCCCTAGTCCAGGGTTGTAGGCAGGGGTTTTGGGGAGTGGACTGTGGGATTTGGGAGCAGGTAGGTCTTGCTTCCTTTCTGCTGCTCTCCCGACTGGGTCTCATTCTCAACTTAGTATTTTCTATGAAGGGTTAGCCAGACTTGGGATGCCCTTGCCCGCTTCCTGCCCCGGACCCAGAAAGTCGTCTGAAAGGCCCCAAATGGGAAGGTGACTTAGGCAAAAAGTCCCCAGAGAGGTCTTCTCACCTGGCCATTGCCCATGCAGAGGTCTCCTGTAACATAGGCTAAGAAGATTCCCTCTGGAGGTAAGACAGTTTGGCCACAAGTCTGTTTGGGTCCAAAACCGACTACATATTCATTCTCCCCTGTCTGCCAAGAGGCTTTGAGGAGGGGTGAGCATCTGACACAGGAGAGGTTCCGTGGGGCAGTGTTCCTCTCTCGTTTTCCTGGGGTCCTGGGTCCTGGTTCTTGAGGACAGGGGCGTGTGAGAGGGGGAAGGAGGCAGACAGGCTGTTTCCCAAACATTGGGAATGTATTCTTAGTCCTACCCTCACTTTCTACCAGAAGTGCAGGCTCGGTGGGCTTTCTTCTGAGAACCATTATTCCTCCACTCCCCACCAACCTCCCTTGATGGGGCTCCAGCAGAGTGCCGCCTCCCCTTCAGGGAACCCATTTCACAAGTCTGACCTTGGGTCCAAAGTTGGGGGGAACAAGCCCTCACCCCTACCTCTTTTCTTTCCTACCCCAGCATCCCTTCCTGTTCCTTGCCTGCCCTTACAGCTGCTACAGTCTCTGTCCCATCTCCCACTCCCAGGTGGAAGGGTGTCCAGGGGAAACATTTCAGGTGCCAAGGCGCTGAGGGCCTGTACTGGCAGTGTGAACCGGAAAGCTGCTCTGCGGTTGTCCCCTTTTCACCCTCAGTCTCTCTGGCCCTCCGCTCCTTGGAGCTGGCTGTTTGCAGGGCTTTGGCACCTCGGAAACAGTGGGGTGGGCTCCAGGGTCTTGGCTGTGAAAGGACCTTGAAGGGAGCGAGGAGTGAGGAGGGTCTCTCAGGTGTGTGTGTTCATGTGGGGAGGGGGGGAGGGCATCAGGGAAGTGGGGTTGGGATCCCTTCCCTTCAAGAGGCAGGCAGCTGGGGGGGAGGTTGGTGGGGGAGCTCACTGATAGTGACCCAGGGCCCCCACCGCCTCCTCTACTGGCCTTGGGGAACTTTGCACAAGGAGACATCCCCCAGTCTACCAGCACCTACCTCATGGGCACTGGGGTGGGTGGGGGAAGGGCAGGTCCAGCTCTGGCAATGTTGGGGGGGCATACCAAAGAATCCAGGGGCAGGGGTTGGGGGAGGGCAGACTCAGCAAGCTGGCCCTCTCATTCCTCTACCCAGATTGGGGTTGGGGTCCTCTCCTCCAACTGTAACCATTTCTACCTCATTTTGCTGTGTGTTGTACATGGACATATTTATCTCCTGTCTGATGATGCTCTGCAGTTGTGGTCTGTCTACCTCAGAAGAGACTGTATTTTAAAAGAAAGTATTACACAGTATTAAAGCAATGACATGTGGTTTCCAGAGGATTTCTTGCGGGTAGCAGAATGTGGGGAGCCCACTGGGAAACTCTTGGGCATCCAGGTGCATCGGTGCCATTGGTGTGGCTCTGGGTGTTCTATTCTTTGAGCAAAACGTTATTGTGAAACTCCTGTTATTCAGTCTGGCACAGGAAGTGCCCACCAGGCAGGCACTGGGCCCTGAGGCTGGCAGGTAAAAACCACACTCAAGCTCTGAAAGGCCCCTGGATCAGGAGAGCCATCATGAAATTCTGAGGCTCAGAATTGGGGCTGACTTTTTGTATCCCCAGAACTCTGAAGTATGGGATCGGCAGGGGGCGGTGGCGGGGAGGGGACAATGAAAGGCTCACGTGTGTTGACTGAGTGAATGAATGAATAAATGAATGGATGCAGGAAAGGGGCAAAAGAGGAAGGTTCACTCACAACCTGGACAGCAGCCTTTGATGGCTGCAGTGATTGTACTTGTATTCCACTCTTGGATGGAGGGACCATACCCAGAGGGCAGGGTATGGAGAGAGCCGAGTTCCAGTCTTTAAGGTCACACAGGATCCTTTGCCTGCCACCATTTGTCAACGCCCAAACTATCTTGGACAACTCAAACTGGGAGACTGATGAAACTAGGATGGAACATCTTGCTGAAAGAGTTGTGTGGAGGAACCCATGAGAGGTTTGGACTTATAACTTCTGAGGTCCTTGACAAATGCTCTAAAATTACTGAAAATGCACCAGAGTGCAAGGGGATCAGTGCACCCAGGGCTCAGGGCTGAGCATATACACCAGGCTTTCAGGAGGCAAAGCAAACAGTTTCCTCTCTGAAAACAACTGAGAGTCTGCTTGGACAGGGAGGCTCTGGGAACCTTGCCCCAGGGCTCAGCAACCCTGACTCTCCTGGGTCTCTGAGGTCCAGACCCCCCTGGCTCTCCAGCTGGTTTATTGTATACCTACTGTGTGCAGACACTGTATGGTACTGAGAATATAGAAATGATTAAGCATAGCCGCTGTTTTGGAGATGCCACAGTACAGGGCAGGGAAAGCTAGAAAATGGATCACTTGAAAATATAGCTACATAAAGCTGCTTGAGGAGGGGCCCCATCAATATTTTTATTCTCACATATGGCACATGGAAGACACTAAATAAGTCCTGAAATGAATGAATGTCCAGATAAAGTGTCTTGATGCAGGATGCATAGTCTATCTCAAGAATGTCCAGAAAAAAACCCAGACTCACAGCAGTGGCTAGGGTGTCAGGAAAGCTTCCTGGACAAGAGTGGGTACAGCTGGGCAAAGCTGTGGAGGCTGGGAACTGCACCATATGTGTGATTTGGTATAAGAACATAAAATAAGGGCTGCAGTGAGGGGAAGTGGGGCTGGAGGAATCGTTGGGACGGAACCACTGTACCATGAGGAACATTCATGCCCCTGCAGAGCTAGGGGTTGGGGGTGGGACACGACTGATTTGAAAGTTAGGAATTCACACACTGATTCAAGAAATCTTTACTGAATACTTTCTCATTAGGTGCCATGGGATTGGGACAATAGATGGACTGCCCATTCTAATGATGGAGAGAGGAAAAAGGCTGAGGGAGTAGGTAGGATGGAGTTAGTCAGGGAGCATTTTCCAGAAGAGACCTCTCAGCTGAGGAGTGACTGAGCCAGAACAGAGTGCAGGCCAAGGCCCAAAGGAGAGCCAGAGCCCAGCCTGGTTGGGGGATGGAGACAAGTTTAGTGAGTGGGGCCCTGGCATGTGGAGGCAGGTAGGGACCCAGGCAGGTCGGGACAGAGGAGGAGCTTCCTTTACCCAGGCACGAGATGCACGAGATGCAGGAGATGGTGCCGGTGAGGGTTCCCATGGGGGAGGATGGGAGATGATGGCCTCTACCTATTTGGTATTTAGCTGGTAAGAGAATTTAGATATTGATTAGATGTCAGAGATAATGGGCAGCTAGGGCTCTAGGGCTTCATTCTGGAGAATGAGGAGGGCCAGTGAATGATTAGAAGAGCGATGCCGGAGACTTGCTGAATTTGAGGCATTCGTGGGCCAGCCAGGCCGCCAGCCAGCCCGTCCCCGGTCTCAGGGGACTTGGGCCCACCCACCTCGGGGTATTGGGGAACTTTCTTCAATTTCTGGGTTTTGTGAGACCCTTCTTCTTCTGGGTGTTGGGAGATGATCCTCCAACGAGTCGCGCGTGTTGGAGGCCCCCTTCCATGTCCCTGGGTGCTGGGACCAGCCGCGGAATGTGGAAAGCCCCTTCCCGCCCCCATCCATGGGCGCTAGCGCCCCTCCCCCACCCGAGGGCATTCCGAGCAGCTCCTCCCCAACAGTCGGGGTCCGGGTCACCGCCAGGCGATGGCGGGTCAGTCTCCCGCTGGGGTCCTCGTCCTGGCTCTGGCGCTCTGGGGCTGGGTGCTAGTTCTGGCGGGGGCCATGGACGCCATGGGGCCTCACACGGCTGTCCGTCTAGCCGAGCTGCTGACCCCGGAGGAGTGCAGCCATTTCCAGTCGCTTCTGAAGGCGCCGGAGCCGGACGTCGAGGCCGAGCTGGCCAGACTTTCTGAGGATCGGTTGGCTCGGGCCGAACCGCCAGGGCCCAAGCCAGGGTCACCAGGCCGGCGGCGACGGGAGGCGAGGGACCCGGCAGCTGACCCCGAGGAGGTATCCGACGGCTGCCGGGAAGGGCTGGCGGCTTGGCTGGCAGCCGAGGCCCTGACGCTGCCCTGGGACCGTGTGGCCCGGGCCCTGCGGCGCTGCGGCCGCCCGGACGTGGCCCGGGAGCTGGGCAAGAACCTCCACCAGCAGGCGACGCTGCAGCTGCGCAAGTTTGGGCAGGGCTACTTGCCGCCCGAGGAGTCCCCAGGCCCCGCCCCCGCCCCCGCCCCCGCGCCGGCTCCAGCCTCAGCCCCGGGACCCGCCCCGGGCCCGCCCCCACCTCACGCGCGCTCCCGCCGCGCCTCCGTCCCCGAGCCCAACTGGGATGAGCTGGAGCTGGTCTTGGAGCGACTGCCCCAGGCACCGTACCAGCGCAGCCCCCTGGGCTGGGCCGGGCCGCTGGCGCTGGGCCTCTTCACAGGTTTCGTGGGAACACTGGGCGCCGGGGCGCTGTTCATCCTGCTCACACTGTGGATCACGGGCGGCGATGGCGACGGGGTGCGGCCCGGCAGCCCCGGCCCGCCCGCCACTGCCCGGCTCAGGCCCAGCGAGGCGCAAGGCTGGTGGGAGGCGAAGCCGCTCTTGACTGAAGCGCAGCTCCTTTTTCCGGGGTCCTGGGCCCACTCTGCCCGGGCTGCAGGTGGGCCAGACCCTCCCTCACCCCAGTGCCCCCGGCTGTAAAGCGGGGCACAATCCTGGTGGAGTGCTACCTTTGACGTATTATAAAAGTTACAAAACTCGCCAAGGACGGAGCAATCGGTTTGTTAGTTCTTTGGAAATGACAGGCATAGCCAAGAGTGCTGTCAATAGAAGAGGAAGGGCTCAGGTGTCAGTCTAGCAGCACCGTAGGAGGCAGGCCCTCCCAGTTCTTGTCAGCATTAGTTTTTTCGAAATTATTCTTCCACTAAGAGCTACCATTTATTGAGCCCTAACTGTGATAAGCAGTTACATACATTATTGGACCTAATTTTAATTGGTTTTTACTTTTTTAAAAAAAGATTTTACTTATTTTTAGAGCGGGGGAAGGGAAGGAGAAAGAAAGGGAGAGAAACATCAATGTGTGGTTGCCTCTCATGTGCCCCTCACTGAGGACCTGGCCCACAACCCAGGCATGTGTCCTGACTGGGAATCCAACCAATGACCCTTTGGATCACAGGCCAGCACTCAATCCACTGAACCACACCAGCCAGGGCTATTTGACCCAATTTTTAAAACTCAAGGTACAGTTAGGTTTTTGAACCTAGAGCTGCCTGACTTGCAAATATGAGCTCCAGAGGAAATACTCTGCCAGCAGCAAGGGAGCCTGGCAGGCATAAGGGCGACCGGAACAAGTCGCCCGCCTGGTTTACTCTGTGGCCCTGCCGGAGTGTGCTGGGGTGGCACACTGGAGGTGTGCCCACCTCCAGAGGCTGCGGCCTCCAAGCCTCTCTCCCTGCTCTGGCAAGGCCTCCCGAAGGTGTACCAAGAGCCCCAAACCTTTCCCATCCACTACTCAGACCATGTCCCTTGTCACAGGGGAAGGCCAGAGTACAGCTGTGGGATCCTGCTGGGTGGGAGTGCTTGACTTCCCATCCACCCTTGGCGGAGAGACATCGATGTGAGAGCAATGACAGAATGACAGGCCAGTCCAAGAGGAGAGTTGAAAACAATATTGACGTAACCCTTTATTGCAAATTCTAAAGTAAAAAGATGTACAGTACAAAGTAAAATTGAAATTTCAGACTATAAACTTCCAATCCACGTATACATTCTCATTTCTCAAGCATTTCCACCATTTCCGCATAAACGGAACAGGGAACAAGTCGAGGGGGTGAGGGAAGGAGATACAGCAAGGGAAAAAAATTAAATGTCTAGAATAACCATAAACCCCAGAAGCAAGTGAAAGGAAAGATTTTCTCGACCTGCTGTCCTGGTGATGAGAAGCGGGGGTGGTTGGAGCAGTGCAGTTTAAAATGGCTCTCAGAATAGCAGCATTTATGGTACCATTTCATCTTCCTTAAGTCCAAATAATACTTTGCCCTTCCCTAGTGCCTTTGCCTCTGTATCTCAAAACACTTTACAGAACATTTAGTTAAAGCCTCACAACACCCCTGTGAGGTAGGTCAGTATTATTATCCCCATTTTACAGATGGGGAAACTGAGGCACAGAGAGGTTAAGTGACTTGCCCAAGGCCACACAGCGAGCCAGCGGTTGAGCTGGGGATGGAACACAGGAGTTCTGTCCCTTTTCTGGAACCACTGGACCCCGCTCCCCTTTACCTATATACATTCTTCACACACACACACACCACATGTGCACACCCGCCCACCCCACCCCACTTAGCCTCTATGTACAGCAAATAGCAGTGGGGGACAGGGGCCGGGGGTGCCTCAGGAGTGTTTTAACAGAGGAAATCATGGTGATCCTAAAAAGGGAATCCAAGAAAGCACAGAGCTGAGTCACAACACAGACTCTGTGCAAACCTTGGGCCCCTCCCAACCCAAATTTCCTCTTCTCTCCTAATGTCCCCCTGGCTGGCTAGTTGCAGCCAATTCTTTACGGGGTGGGGGGTACCTGAAAATGAACGAAGCTTTTTGCAAAACTTTGGGCAACATCTGAGAAAAGAAAGAGGCATCGTTACAAAAGATGCCCTGGACTCAAGTCACAAAGTCATAGCCCATGGCAATCTCGCCCCCACGGTAGGCCTGGAGGCTGGGGGCCGGGGGAGGGTGGGGACTGACCTACCAGCCATCTCTCTCCAGAGTGGAGCTACTGGAGTGGACTAGAGTGGGCACTTCAGAATCCTCCTGAGAGTGTTCCTGGACCGGGAGACATGGCCTAGAGAGGGATGTCCCCAAAGCAGGGCAGGGTGAGGGAAGGGGAGGGGTGCCCCTCACCCCTGCACACATGTGAATGAGACCAGCCCTAGTCTGCTGGTTCATCTGTGGGGTGATGGAGGGCAGGGCCCAGCATTAGCTAGCAGAGTGGAGGCTATTGGGCATCGTGCATGCCCGAGCTTTGGGGCATTGGGATAGTTGTTTTTTCCCTCCCACACACTGGTGAAAAAGGCAGAAGTAAGGCCAGCCCAGCAGGGTTGGCTGACATCATCTCTGGGAGCTTTGCCAGGTGAACTGGTGAGGAACGGTTTCATGGACCTTGAAGCACTGGCCCAGGAGGAGGAGGAATGCCACATGCAATGGGTGAATGGGGATGGGGGTGGGGGTCAGGACCTTGCTTTTCTCACCAATCTCTACTCAGCCAGACCTTTGCCAGAGACCCCATGATCTCTCTCCCATTCCCCTCCTTTCCCCACCTGTAGGAAGGTCCCAATTCCCAGACCCCTCCCAGGACTCAAGAATTGGGATAGTCAGGCAACAAACACACACCAAGACAGGCTTCCCTTGTACAGTAAAAAGGGTCATTTTTATTTTGTTTCCTTTTTGGTTTATAGTTGTGATGTATGTTTTGTCATGTCTCATTTAGAGCAGTGTTGGCCTCCATGCATTCGCTAATATACTAATCTTCACTATTGGTCTGTTACAAGTTTACATTGGTTGCGGCGAAAAATAAAAGAACTCTGGGCACTGTCGTTCCAGGAGCTTTGACTGGGAGTTTCTGTTTATCTCTCCCAGGTCAACCTCTGGTGCCAAAGGAGGCTCATTTAGAGAGGATGGGAGTGGGTCATGCTGACTCGAGAAGTCTTTCCTGTTCTCGCCCGCTGCTTTAAATTGGGGAGTCTCCTCATCCTAAGCAACAAGGAGGTTAAGGAAAGAGGGGCAAGTTTTTTTCACACAAACCAGCAACTGTGTCAGCTGCCGCTCAGTGGCTTTGGCTCTGCATTTTAAATTAACAGCATCACACGTGACTTTTTGCTTTTTGTCCTTTTTTTTTAAAGGTGGATTGTGGAATATAAATACTGCACCAAGGACCTGGCTACAAAAAATAAATATATTTATATTCTATTTATAGATCTATATATATATATGTGCAGTGATACTGTGGCTGCTGCTGCTGTTTGATTGGCTTTGTTAATATTTGGCCAAGCGTTGCCACTTACCCACTCAGGGAGGACGCTGAGAAACGTCATCGCTGATTCTTTCAGTTTAATGCGGGTGTTAACTGCGGGTGTAAACTGCTGGTGATGGTGTCATTTACTACCAAAGAAGTGTGAGGCAGGGTGGGTGAGTGAGAGTGAGTGAGCGGGTGGAGCGGGTGGGCGGAGGGGAGGGAAAAGAAGGTAGGAAAAGTTAAAAAAAAAAAAAGTGAAACTTCAAATAGAGTAGAGGAGGCTTCTTCCCTGTGAAGCTGGCAGATGGGTGTCAGATACCCAAGCGAGAGAGAGAGAGAGAGAGAGAGAGAGAGAGAGAGAGAGAGAGAGAGAGAGAGAGAGGGGGGGGGTAGGGGATGTGTGTGTGTGTGTGTGTGTGTATGGCCTGCTGGGCTAGGATCAGGTCTGGGGGAGGAAAAGGGCAGATCTTAGAAAAACCTCATTAATAGTAGCTTAATGCCATCACGAGCACGAGCACTTGGGGTACCAAGCAGGATGTTAATAGCTCTGTTGCCCATCTCAAGACCTAAGAACAATGATGAAGTTTAGCCAAATCTTGCATAGAAGTGGTTAGAATTTATTGCACATTGGAACAAAAATATATATATTTGTTGTTGTTTTGGAAAAGACCATTAGCAATAAAAAATTTTTTGTCTGTCTGTCTGGTTTGGGGATGTACATTGGCTGACAGCATCTAAGTTCTAAGAAGAAAGAAAAGTATAAAAAATAAAAATAAACATGACAATGGCAGAAGCCAGAAGCCATTTCCTATTTAATAAGTTAATTTGTATTTACAAAAAGGCATGCCAATAAAATAAAATATTACAGTATTTATAATTCTCTTAAAAAGAATAACCACACATGTCAGCTTCTGTTTTGTGCTGTTTACAATGTAGCCTGTACATGTTACTATACATTCGTCCTAGCAGTTAGCAGGGTCACTGAAAGAAATGACTTCCCAACCCGGTATCGCGTGTAGTACAAAAGTTCTACGGGTGATGCCGCAGAAGCAGGCTTACGATAGCTGGACAGCATCTATTGGTCCAACAAGACAGAAAGCTCTGCTTACTGACTTGCTGTGGTTTGTTCTACACAAAACTAGTCAGGTGGACTGTGAAAATACATCCGAAGTGCTTCCACTGCAAGGCAGATTGGTGTGTCTGATGATGGGTTGTTCCCCCCGCCCCCTATTGTATGGTTCAGGAAGAATTTATTTTGATTTGGTTTGCACGTTAAAATCTCTCCCCATTCTCTGTATAGGCTTCCTGACACATTCAACTGCAGCATCTTGGCTTTGAAATCTAGTCATCAGATGAGAAACCCCTGGACTAAAAACTGCCCTCCCTAAAGCAGGAGATGGAATGGAAGAGAGGACGCTCCCCCCAAAGCCACCCTTCAATGACAATGGGCAGGTCGCTAAGCAGACAGCAAAACCGGCTGAAAGGGAATGTGCTGGGGGAAGGTAGAACATCTAAGAATTAATGTTAAATCACTTTCTCATGAGAACCAGTGCAACAAAGAAACCAAGTGGGCTTGGTTCAGAGGCGGCTCCATCTCTACCTCAGGTCCCACCAGTGACGGCTTATTCTAACAATAAATGAAAGAAACCACAGCCACAGCCCTGATGCTGCTGCCCTCCCCCACCTCTGTGGG